AAAAAAAGCTTGTTGAATTACTAATCTAAACACTGTTCAGTCTTTAGGAATTAATCTATATCCTGGAATCAGTGATCTCCGTTCATTGGTTTCATCTCTGTCAGAAAAATAATTTTTATTATTTCCTTATTTTTTTTCATGTAATGTGAACGCTGAATTTCCTAAAACTTACTATTTATTTAATATAATTTTCCATACCTGTTTTTATAAATTGATTAGCATAACATATCATTTTCAATTAGTCTCCAGGTGTCACCTTTATTTTACTTAAACACTTAAGTATAGTTTTAAATATACATATATTTATCCATTTCTAAAGTAAAATATCCCTAATATTTTTTCACATACACTCTCGCCATCGGCTACATCGTACCGGAAATGAGATGCTTACAGAGAAATAGACTAAACATTTCCTAAAAAACCAGATGACCTTCATGACATCACTAAATTCCCTTTATATATATATATCATTGAAAAAGAAAGGTCCACCTTTCGAAAGTGCTCGATTTATAGGGTTTTTATTCATTTGTATCAAGGTGCCCGGCATGGCCAGGTGGTTAGGGCACTCGACTCGCAATCTGAGGGTCGCGGGTTCGAATCCCCGTCACACCAAACATGCTCGCCCTTTTAGCCGTGGGGGCGTTATAATGTGACGGTCAATCCTACTATTTGTTGGTAAAAGAGTAGCCCAAGAGTTGGCAGTGGGTGGTGATGACTAGCTGCCTTCCCTCTAGTCTTACACTGCTAAATTAGGGGATGGTTGGCGTCAGGAAGGGCATCCGGCCGTAAAAACCCTGCCAACACCAAAAATAGCGACCCCGTATATATATGGGAAAAAGCTACAGAAGAAGAAGATTCATTTGTATCAAGACTTCTTGAACCTATGTGTTTTTCTAACATCATTAATTAGGAGTAGGGAAGTATGGATGACGTCACCATATGCATAATGAATTGATGGGTATAGGTAGTACTATGCACTGCAAAGTGAAAGATATTTGGGGAATGGATATGTCACTGGTATCATTGCCCTGTTAAATTTTAATACTTGCCCCCGATATCAAAGGTTTGAAAACATCACTACATCTGGTTTCTCTTACTAGAGAAGTCAATCAGTTTGTCATTTCTTATAATACTATTCGGCTCCAAGTATCTGTTATACTAGAGGTTTTTGGTGGATATCACAGGTTTAAACTCATAGCCATTGAGATGCCTCACATGAGTATCAGGTTTGTTCAGAACTACATACCTAACCTCTTACACGAATAGTCAAGTTAAGTCATTTAACTATTTTAATTACTTTAAATACACAACACTGCCTTTACATTTTATAAACATTGTGCATTCAAACACAATATATATCACAACCAAAAAACTGTTTCGTACGCAATGCACGAGTTTTACCCCTAGTATATATATATCTAATATTGTCAGTACCTTTTACAGTTACGGTAAACTTATTTCAACTGAACACCTTAAGTTCCCTATTCATCATGCAATTCCTCAGTACTACAGGACTTTAATAATATATTTATAATGCTCGAGTCTGATTAATATTTTTGATGGAAATCATTATCAGTCTATAAAAGTACATTGGTAGGCCTCTTTTTTTTTCAAGAAAGATCTTCCAAATTAAGTAATTTGTCTTCAAAATATATATATATATATTTTAAAAAATCTGTGAAACTATGATCGTAACTGAGCGAGTAAACATAAGACATAGAAAAAATTGATATGATGCTAAGTTTTGAAACCTTTTGTTAGCAAACTTTAAGTCTTTCCAACGACTATCATTCTTATGTATACTACGAAATAAATTTTTATATGCAAAAAACTAAAAAAACAACAACTTTATAATGAACACCACAAATTATACTTTGTTTCATACTTACATATATATATATGTATTGACTTACCTCAGGATCTAACTTCAAATCTTTTGTTACCCACTCATGCCAATTTTCTACTTCAGGTAATGTATCTGGCTAAGAGAATAAATTATTTTTTTTCAAAAAGAAATTTCAGATCAAGATATATTAATCTGTTTTGAGTAAAGAACAAAGCTACACAACAGGTTTTCTGTGCTGTGCTCACCAATCAAGATACTAATATTATCACATTTATGAATTTAGTGCACACTGATGTTCTCATGTTAAGAGTATAATCATACAATAAGCTCGATAAATATAGTCAAGTAAGAGGTTAAAACAATGAATAAACATTTCACTCACTTGTGAAGATTTAAAAATCTTAATAAAAAAGAATTCAAATTCAATATCAACTAGCAAAAATTTAAAAATATTAAAGACAAGAAATTAGTAAACTTGCAATGATCATTATTAGCTTTACTATCACTTTTCTATTCATTATGATGTGAATTCCTTTTCTAAGCAAATGTTGTAGCAAATTGTTTATATAAATGGTGTCTCAATAATAATTGCTTTTGTTGTGTCCAAGTCAGCCTCATGAGCTCTGTATTGAGCAATAGATATGGCAGACATAGTGGTTGTAATACTATTATGCACTCTGAATAAAGAATGTAGAGTCAAAATTTATAATAGGCCTAATACTAATGCCTTATGACAGCCATAAATCATTACATTGTTTTTTTTACTTCAACCTTGTTTAACCCTATTTAATCCTTACTTGCATGAATAATTTTTTGTTCTACACATTACATAGCCATTCTTGATCCTAGTCATTGTTCATATTGCCTAAAACTTTCTACAACATTAGCAGACCCAATGTAAATTTAGACTAGCTTTTCACTTAGTGTAAAATGCAAGTTAATGAAACTCGTTTCACCATACATGTTAAGTCACAATATTAGTCTTAAACATTTAGTATAACATTTTTCAACCTTTTCAAAACCAGGGACCAGCTTCCTGCCTTCTTAAACTGTTGCATATCACTGAAATGTAACTACAATAAAGAACCATCACGACATACAAATATTCCATCAGTTTTCGTTTTTCTTGTTTGTTTTCATGAAATCCCATGGATAAGCAAGATGGTTGTGACAAACCAGCACCGGCTTATGGACTGGTGGTTGTGACAGGCCAGCACTAGTCCATGGACCAGTGGTTGAAAAAAAATAATTTATTGAATACAGTTTTAAAAAAAAATTTAGTTATTTGATCAACAACGAAAACAGATACGTTTTGTACATGTACTCAAGTAAGCCAAGCTTTATGTTGGTATCTGGAAAAACACATGTAACTATTATTTTCCAAACCTAGGCTTGAAAATAACTTTCATTTTTGACTGTGGCAACTGTTTGCTAGCCATTTTGAATGTTGCTCACAAATGTGCCAAAAAGTAAATAAAAAAAAAACATTAGTTGCATGCCATTAGCAGATTTAACTTGTCAGTTGACATGAATTTCCATTTCTGATTTAGTAATCTCTACTAATCTATAAAATTTTTAGATTACATTTCTGATTATATTTACATGTTCTAATATAAAATGAAAGAAAATTAAGATATGATAAAAAACAACTTAAACACTGCTTGAACATGTTTTTACTTAAGCATTGGGGAATTCCACTGAAAGAAACATGAGAACAATGTACAGTAAGTTGCTATAAAAAGCTTATAGGTTGATTATCATATTGTACGTTTACCATAAATGTTGTGCTTGCAGATTTTTTAAATAATTTTTGTTAATTGTTTACAACTTTTCTGAACATTCTTTATCATGCCTGGATTATCAACTGCCAAAAGAATGCCAGAGCCCCTTAATGATCTCTGATTTAAACACTAGAACCCACTGGCCAGATATCCACCACTAATTTCAACCCCTGTTCATGAATAAACTGAAGTTTAATATTCAGTTGAAATTTCAAAATCAACATATTTCCTTACTCCAATGGGTAAAAATGGGATCCCAGCCTTTTCCAGCTCCCCTGTGATACCAGTACTTCCAAAGACATACACCTTTTTTCTGAATTCTATGGACTTCAAGTATACTGCTACACAGTAGGAAGTTGGAAATATTTTATCCTATTCAAATAAAAAATAAGACTGTACAATAAAAAAATTAAAAACGTTTTTAAACAGAATTATTTCAATATTTATTGTTTGGAATATAAGTTTTAAATTTCACTTGCACATGCATTTTGCACAACCTGAGTGATTAAAGAATTGCTTGTATATTGCAGCTCCAAACAACTTTGATAAATTGATTGGTAAACAAAGTATTGATCATCTTAAGTGACACGTTCATCCACTTTTGGTCTAACTATATATTCTATACTAACTTTCAGTACAAGATTTTTATGATTAATCAAATCATTGAATAAGTCATGAAATTACAAATGATAAACTTAATTTGCACTTTATCAATTATAACTTGAATCTTAGGCCCCTAGCCAATTATTTTTAAAGGTTTTTCAAAATAAAGGCTAAAAAATATGAAAATAAGAGTTAAAATACAAATTATTTTTCATCACTGTTTCGTTATACATCACATAACGAAACAAGAAATAGTCAGCAGGACATGTACCAATTTGTAGTTTGGTGGATGCAAATGTTTTTATTTAAATGCCATGCACTGTATTGTCATTTATTACAAACATATATTTCGTGGCTACTTACCTATATACAGCAGTTTTATAATAAATCATGGTAAACTACCATACCTATTGTGAACTGTTCCCCAAAGTCCCTTTCTACTTTTAAGGTTTTTGGAATTGCTTTTCTAAAGGTTTTTTCCACACCACCAAACCTACAACACATTTTTATTTCCTTCATCAGAAAATTTCTATAAAAGCACAGTGATTACTAATACTAGCATAACTAATAAAAACGTTTTAAATGTTGTTTAATGTCAGTGTGTTAAGTCTTTGCTTTACACAGAACTTGGGTGGTTACAGTATCATAACTAATAATGTGCTGTATAAAACCATAGATCTGTTTCTCAGATATGCTTCATTTGGACATAAGAAATTTATAATCATATACTTCATTAATTTTACATACTTTAGTCATATAATAGTTGTTTTTCAGGGTCATCTCAATTTGTTACAAGTTAGTCTGAACATAGTGGCCATGTCATCAACCTGCTGTTACAAGTACACTAAACATAAAAACAAATTAAAAGCCGGAAAATAATGAACAACATCAGCAGAGAAATTCTACTTCTGTTTTGGGCAAATGGGGGTGATAAGTAAACCAAGTCCTGCCCACAGATGGCTGAAAAATAGCTTTAGAAAACTTAAAATGACATGCATGTAGAAGCAATGCATTTTATTAAAATAAAAACAAACATCTGACAAACTACAAGTAGGTATTGTAAGAATATATACATATGTGATACACAGGTGATTATATGTCCTGCTGACAGAACTGGAATTTTGGGTAGTGCAGAAATCTTAAATTTTATAAAACAGAGGTCCAGCATGTCAAAATAATGGCCTATTTGATGAAAACAAGTTTTAAATTCTAAGAACTTTTGAGTGAAAGTAAAGAAGAATGATTTAACAAGTTTCAAAGGTCTTCTAAATGGCCTACTTAATTAAATTATAATAAAAAAAACATCTCCAAAATCTTTAATAAGATTTGTGGCTCAGAGAATATTAAGAACATTTAACTGATCCCACAGAACAACATTAATTCAAACATGATAAAGCATAATAATATTAAGCATTTATTAAACGTTTTGGAATCTTCAAAATTCCATCTTCAATAATCTAGAGAAACAAACACAATGGTAATTACAACAGAAATATGAACTAATTTGTACAACATAAGAAGTAAACAATTTGAATATAAAAGTAGAACAAGAGAAAATGAAAAGTACGTAGCACAAATTAAATAGTTAAATTAAACTAGATTTAAATCAAGTGAATAATATGTATTATTTAGACAGAAGAAGAGTTTTTATGTATAATGTCTCTTTCATTAGAAGCTCAGTATCACGTTTGGCTGTTGAGAGAATTTTAAAGTGGAGAGAGAAATCGTATGCCCTGTTTCTATATTGTGCTGGTAGATAGCAGAGTTGGGAGGAATTGTAACCTTAATTCCAGTTTTTACAGATATGCCCATATGTTCAAAGGCTCTTACTTTACGGTGACATTTGGTTCATTAATACACAAGTCCCTACAGTTCCTAGTAAAAGGTTTTAAGATGGGTACAAGAAATTTTGCTAAGTTATAACTGTGAGTGCCTAAGGCAGAAAGTATAGGTTGAAGTGTGATGCCTGGGTTGTGAACTTTTGGCAGGCCATATAATATTCCAGGTTAGGAGCCTGTAGGATATAAATTGTTGTAAACACAATCAGAAATAATATTTATTTTGCTTAGTCTTCTCAGGAAAGTGAATTTTTCCTTTAAATTGTAATGTATGGTACAATGGTTCCTTGTTTATAAGTTTGAACTTATTGCAATTGTTAAGAATGTCAAGCATTTTTTTTAACATAGTCAACTTTGTTGAGGATAGCAACTTGTTTCCTTTATCTGATCGGGTGATGATGATATTGTTGTTGTAAAAGAATTCTTTAACAGCTGTTCTTTAGGTTTCAGATTATCCTGCATGTGTTATAGTTATAGAAGGCAGATAGTGCTAAGTCCTTGCTACAAAGATAGTGTGCCGATTGCCCACTGTTCACATCTCATCTATCTACACACATGCAGAGACTGGGGCCAAATGTCACCTGAAAGTATGAACATTTGAACATATGGGCATATATATAAAAACTTGAAGAAAAGTTACAAATCTTTCCAGCTCCACTAGCTACTAGCACAATACAAAAACAGTGCATCCGATTTCTTCCACACTGTGCAAATGTATGTGAATTTGGTATTTTTCATGATTAGAGTAGTACAGTTTAATAATAATTCTTTCATGTTTGAAAAACCCTGCTTATGATAAGTTTAAACCAGTGATTTAGTTGGTTAGTTCAGTCTAATTGTAAATGAAAATATGAAACTGATATTACAACACTGTTTTTCTAATTAAATGTACACTCATTACGTTATGTATTAAATGAAGCTGAATCATTAGATCATACAAAAAAATTATTTGTAACTCACCATACTTGCTTTAAAACCTAGCATCTCACACTTCTTGTTGTACTCATTCCTTGCCTTAGTACTATTGTTTGTAACAAAAATCACAGTCTTTCCCTGTAACAAGTATCAAAAGCACATGAGAATTACAATTAATAGTCTTATATAAGTTATCATTTTCTTACATTGAAAATGTAATTCTGATAGGTACTTACCTCCTCTCACACAAAGGTTATCTCAGTCATTGACTGCCTTCTAAACATTGCTAAAATAATTTTAGTAATCAGCACACTAGTACTTATACCACACCAGTTTTGTGTCATTTCTGAACATATACATATCATGTGATTACTCTCCATAAATAGTATTGTATCACCTATAATGGCACATCTAGCTCCCTCTGCTATTCCCACTCAATCTTCACTTTTGAGAATTGGTAGGTACTTGAATAAAAACACTAGTTTTAGTGGGGAAGAAGGGTGGGAAATGTGTGAGAGCAGGTTAATACCTATCAGAAATACATTTACAATGTAAAAAAATCTAAAATTCTGAAACAGACTTACTTCTTCTCATACAAAAGGCTAGAATTGCACATTACAAAGGTTGATGGCCAGTGTCGGTACACAAAGAGAAAAATGAAGCAGAAAACAACCACCCAAAATGAAGGGGTGTGCTCAGAGATGAAAAATGTAGCACATCTATGTGATACCATACTACTTTTAGAACAGGTATGCTTTTCATTCAGGAATTAGGAGAGTAACATAAAATGGGCAGAAAAGGTAATGCTTGTACAAATGCAAGATCATTAAGAAGGTGCACGCTGTATCAACATATAACAAGATAAAATAAATGTTATAACAACAGACGTAGGTTTTGTGGACAATGTAATTGACACCCAACAACCCCAACCATAGGTAAACACATTGTCATATGTCAAGCAACCAGAGTGAGCAAATGGTTGTAACCAGACAAAATCTCAAAACCACCATGGAAGCAACAAGTATGACAAACTGAACCTGGCATTACGGGGTCTTGGCATTGCCTCGACTCAATTATAAGAACAGGGAAAGCTGTAACTAGTATGACAGGAAAAATCATAACTCATTCAACCATAAATGCAAGGTAGAGACATTCTCTTTCCAAAATTACGAGAAGGACAAGCAGCATTCACCCAACCATAGGAACAGAGCGAGGACATCCCATTGCTGATGTTAGAAGGAGATGAAGTCTTTCCAACCAAATCGTAGAAGCACAAAAAAACCTTCTGCAATGGGAATTAATGAGAAGAGAAGCATCTACTGCACACAACCGTAGGAACAGGAAGTTGTCATCCTGAATTCAGAAATATGAGGAACATCTTATGGGAGGAAGAAAATATCCACCAGAGGAAGAAACAGCCAGATCATGCAGATAATGAGTGACTAAGGTATTGGGAGTTATCCACATACCAGTCTGGAGTATATCTTCCAAGAGGAGGCAAAAGCGAGTAGCTAAAAACATGGTAATGAGACAAATGTAATGTGGAGAGACATTGTGGAGATAGAGACCTTCCATGAACAAGTTTGAATACGCCATCCTGATGAGTTGACAAACTCAGCCAGTGAGTGTTACTGGAGACAGATCACAGGAAACAGAATGGTTCCAAAGAATAAATAGTCAGAAATGTGAACCTCGAAAGGAGGCAGTATGAGCCACATAACACCTCAAGGATCGAACAGAACCACATAGATCTTAGGCAGGAAGGACTGGTCAGGGAAGAGGATACCACAAGAGGAATGGTAAAGGGCACGAGAAACATTAATGGCATAAATATCGTAATGACAGCATCTACAGGCAAGGAGGAGAAGGAAATAGGTCTTAAGGAAAAGATGGTACAAGGCACACATAGTGGGTAGTTTAAAGGGAAAAATGAGAAAGGGCATACAGGAGCACATTAAGATCCTAATTTGTACAACAAAGGGACATGGAAGACAAGCAATATGGAAGGAATGGAAATGACAGGAAAGGAGAAAGTGTTACAGAACCATGAAAAACAAAAGGTGTTTGATAGGGCTGCCCGATAACTAGACACAGTCGAAACAGATAAAAAACCAGGTGATAAATTGGGAAAGCTGAAGAACAGAAGAACAGGAGATGGAAGCCATGGTGAAGAGATCAACACTGGAAGGTAGACCAATGCCAATGATAAACAGTCAAGGAAGAAGGTCTGATGGTTTGGGAAAAGAAAGATGCTACATAAGGAATCAATCCCCGAGCTGAGGCAAGGGACTAGACAAAAGCCAAGTGTGAAGATGGAGCTTGGTTATGTCGAGATGAACAATGCCTGTTCAAGGTTGGCAGAGGAGAGACCAAAAATTAAGTAAGGGAAGGGCAAGTAAAGGCAAAAGCAAAGGAACCAAGGCTGTGCAGGCCAATACAGATTAACCTGCAGCATGAGATAAAGAGTGGTCTGGATGAGTGAGAGAACTTTGGATAGGAGTCAGTCAGAGGGTAAGCATAAATGTGAAGACATGTCTAATTCAGACTGAATGCATCTACACACAGAGCTGATGGGTGTGGAACAGGAGACCAAAAGGAAGGAAGTTTGGGTTCCAGTGTGTGGAAAAGGCATCAATAAATGGTGTACATAGTTGAGAACACACCCACCAAAAAATCTGTGGATGAAGGGATTACTCAGTGGGTAAAACTTGGTTGGGATGAGATAAATGATCTGCAACCAGTTTCATGGCTCCAAGAACATGGCAAGCTAACACCACCATGTTGTGATCATGGGCCCAGAAAAGAACATCCAGAGCCTGAAAAAAGAAATCTCAGTTTGGTTCCCCATTGCTTGGTGATGTAATTGACAACAGTGGAATTGTCGGAGTGTACCATAACCATCCGCCCCCACAGGAGTGGAAGAAAATGAGTCAAAGTCTGACAGACTGCCAAAACCTTGAGGATGTTGATGTGTAGTGCAGACCACAACCCACCAAAGATGCATCTGTGAACAGATGTAATTCTGGAAAAGGTGGAGGAATTGAAACCTCCACTGTGGTCTGATCCCTGTCGAGCCACCAAGCTAGGTCCACCCTGATCACGGAAGGAAGGGTAATAGGATGGTCCAAGAGAACCAGGAAGAAGTTCCACTGAAGTTAACACATATGAGTTCAACCCATGGGAATGAAGGCTTCCAAGGAAGCTCACATCCCCCAAAAAGATAGAATCTCTAGAGCCATAAAAGGAGGAGTGGTAAGGGCCTTTGTGACTGCCCATTACATATCCCTGAGACAAAAAGGAGAAGGCTGGTCCAGACTTAGGTGTGAATTGAAGAAAAACCCCAAATAACAGGTACTGAGTGTAGGTAAGAATAGACTTCTCCAACTTGATCAGAAAATCCATCTGTGCTGCTTTCTGTAGAAGCAAATGTGTGTGATCCACTGATTGTGAATGAGAATAGGTGAGCAGGAGCCAGTCATCCATATAATGATGAGTGTGAAGACTCCGTAAGTAAAGGTAATGAGCAAATGAGTGAACCACTCAACAAAACACATAAGGATCTGAAGAGAGACCAATTGACAGTGCCCTGAACTGAAACACTCGACCCTCGTGGACAAACTGAAGGAAACAGCATGACTTTGGAGCAATGGGAATGTGAAGACAGGTGTTCATCACATCAATTTGATCATCCAGAATTCCAGGGAAAACACCTACTCAAGTGAGATATAGAACCCCATAGTGAAGCAAGGGGGCTCCAGAAAGGAATGCAGCCAGGACAGATCTATAATTGGTCTCCAATCACCCACATTTTTGGAGCCGCAAAGAGATGGGAATAAAAACCCAGATGAGTTGGAAACACCCACTCGATAGCTTCTTTGTGTAGGAAGTCTTGAATGGCCTTGGCAGGATGTCTGAGATAGGAAGGATCTTGAGCAGGAGGAAATGAAATTGGGGATAGGGAGTGGAGACTGGAATCAAAGACAGATACCTTCCAACAGAACCCATAGATCTGTCATGAAGTGCCACCACATAGTTGAGAAGTGAAGCAATCTGGTCCCCATGGGACAGGGAACCTCTGCAGTGTTACCAATAATACTGGCATCTATTCAAGCAAGTGCGGGTAAGATGAGGATAGGGATGGTAACACCTTAAGGAAGGTAAAGGATAGGGTGAGAAAGAAGGAGGGCAGGAAACCAGGATATGCAAATCCTGGGAGGTCATGGAAGGATGAGACAAATGTGTGGCTAAGGAGGATAAGAATGAATGTAACCTATCTCCATAAATCTTTGATTCTACGGAATCAGGACAACCCTCAAAGAAGGAATCACATAGAAAAGAAGCCTGTCAGAGATCTTGTAGTGAGGAAAGGGGGAGATGAGGCATGTCTATACTCGACTGTAGTTGATCAAAAATCTCTGAGAATGAAAACTATGAAATGGGAAGGTGGACTTTCACCCAATAAAGCAGGGGGGAATCATAGGCTATATGAGAAACATCTACAACATGACATACCTGATTGACAAGTTGTAAGAAGGGTATGGGTGGTGAAATGTCCTGAATAGGTGTAGACTGGGATGGACAAAAAAGGAAGGTGCCAGAAAAACAAGAGTCAAAATTTTCTTCCTCATGATGGTAGGCCTCCTCAGAAACATGGTCAGGAGGATGATGAGAAGAAATTGCCAGCCGACCATAAAACTAACTCCCTGGGAATCAAGGCTTGAGCTTCTCTCAGTCTTGAGAAGTTGTGCCATGTGAGATGTTGTCTATGGTGGGAGTATCATTGTTCACCACAATAAATCTTGAATTCATATTAAAAACATAGAATTCAGAAACAAGAATTAAGTTGAATACAAAATTGTAGAAACAATTGAAAACAAATACGAAATTAAAAAAATTGTGAGATTAAACTTCGACAGAAAAGGTAACAAAGCACAATAAAAATTGTAGTGATACTCGGAAAAATTAAACACACGTCTAAAATGTGTCATGCCAATTGAAAAAGTTGGGATTGAGCAGGAATACCAGAGGGAGCTAACTGCACTGTTATAGGTGGCACAATACTATTGATAGAGAGCAGTCACATGATATGTACATGTTCAGAAATGGCATGAAACTGGTGGGGTATAAAGACTGATGTGCTGATTACTAAAATTCTTTTAGCAATAATTAGAAGGCAATCAAAGATCGACATAGCCTTTTGTGTGAGAAAAGGTAAGTCTGTTTTGGAATTAATATATACATATTTAGAATATAAACTATACCTATATCAGAGTGCAACAATTTAACTTTTAAAACTGTCGGTAAGTCCACCAATTTCTGGAACAAAATATTGCTATAATCACATACCAGGGAAGAATCCTTCCAATCAGACTTTATTATAACTCTCAGATGTGTAGGTTATTTCTTAAAAGACAAACTTTTTAAGCACAATTAATGTTAATATCTACTTTATGTTCTGCATTAGCACTCCTATGACACAGAGAACAAATCTAAGCTGTTTTACCCCTCATAATACTGGAAACAAAAAGTTAAAATTAACAACATTTTTTGAGATTTGGTGCCAGTAACATCTGACTTTTAAAGCAAAACAGATATCCAAAATAAATAATGAAGGTGGGTCCTTCATTACCATCTCTTGAAGAGCATTTATAGTTTCCTTTGCTCCTGGAATTACCTCGTTTCCATTCCAAAGTACTCCTGCCAACAAAAAAAAATCCATATTTACAAAGAAAATACAAACTATTACACTGTCATGTAACAATATGAATTTAATTAATCTTAATTAACCAAAAGAATCATGATGGAAGTATCTTAAATGATGTCTTGTATCAGCTAAAGAGCACAAAAACATATAAAATGCCTTCATATTAGACATAAGTAAGACATAACCTTTTCACTGCTGACACGCTTTGTAATCCCTCTACACAGCAAGTATTTAAAAAGTGAAAAACTCAAAACTAATCAGTTGACCAATGAATTTCAATATTACATTTCTGAGTAATACCAACAAAAATCATTCACTCAAGAAAATATTTGGTTGTCAAATACATGAGGCCTACTTCTCAGATTATTCTGCCCGATAAATTGCTGAGCATAACTGCTCGTTTCACTTTTCAAATAAATTATAATGCCCTCATGTTGTAATAGTCCAAAGGGTGAAATATTGTTGTGTCAACTTGAATACCAGATATACAATCTAAAGCATCAGCACTTGAAGGTATTAATTTTGCATTCCCAACATCAAACTAAATGTTTTTGCAGTCACCTTTGTCACTTGTTTCACAGTTCATTCTCTTCAGTGTTCTTGTCTTGCTCTTCAATTAATTCTACATTGTCTAAACTATGTTTCTTCTTCAGTGTAATCAACAATGTAAACATCATAGTCACTTCCTTCACTCTTAACCTTAAGAGAAAATGCACCATTGTTACCAGAATCATTCCTAAATAAACATTTGTATACTGAATGTCATACAAATTCAACATGGTCATATTTTTAATTATTTGCCCATACTAATTGTCATGTTATCACTTATTACAATAAGTGCTTGCTTGATGGTATTGAAAATGCTGTTTATGCTTATCTCTATCATAATTATACTGAATTAAATCCAGATACGTAACATTTATTTATTGAGTATATTTTGTACAGAAATATAACAACAGATCATAAAAGAACTTTTATTTCATTAATATATATATATAAGTATAGGCTATCAAAAAGCAATATAAAAAACCTGACTTTCTTTTAGCTCACTGCAATAAAAGCCTGACACAGATGGAGTTTAAGTTAAATTCAGCA